TAGCTCGCTAGCAGCCTCGCACCGAGGACCTATCCACGTCATCATTTACCCAGAATGCTTTGTGTGTAAATATAATGGCCCCGTCCATGTAATATATTTTTAAAATTCTAGTTTAAAATTTATAAAAACTAAACATCCTACAGTATTTTCAACAGTCTTTATTTTTCAGTTAAAATTATGTTTATCAAATAAAGTCTAATGTTACAACTAATCAGGGATCCTCTTAAGACAGACAGAGTGTTTTTCTCCTAAAACAAATACTTAACAAAGATTGTGTTTTTTGTACTTACCTGTGTTCAGGTCCAGGTCTCGGATCATCCCCATTTTTGACTCAGTCTGAACTGTGTGTTCTACCTGTCCTGAACCGAGCCCGGACCTCCTTGTTGTCCTCTGCCCTGCCTCTCCCCTCTCCATGAAGGAACTGCTCACACTCCTTGAACCACTTGTGAAAAAGGACTTCCCTCTAACCAAAGGAACCTCCACTAACCTCCTCTACCATGCCAGCCTCCTCACCTGTGATCTGTAAGAGAAACAATCAAGCAATCTTTAATCACAAGAATCATCTGCAGGAACAAGAATCTAAACAGTTTCCTTTTCCCTTACAGCTTAACCCAGGACCACGCACTATAAATAAACTCACTTACCTTTTCTACCCATTGTCTGAGTGTCGTGTTTACCAGCAGTGTAAGCTTTTTGGGGTACTCTTTAAAACTAAACCTAATAGAGGATTTATTTATGCTAACAAAATCATCCTATTGTAACCAAGTTTCACTAAGACAGAATAAATCAAAATGATGATCAATTATCGGATCTGTTGTGGAATACTTATTTCTGTATCACCTTGACACTGTCCACTTGTTCATATCTCGTTGATATCCCTGGACGTCATCATCGAGTTGACCTATTTCCGTGTATCGGGATGGGGCAGGTCATGATTGGTTGTTCATTWTCACATGATGATAGCTGAAGGTATAACAGTTCTCTTCCGCCCTCAGTCAGGGGGCCCACATCTAACAGACTTTGTGATTGCTTTCTGTTCCATGTCTGCCCATTAATAAATGACTTTATGATCATACCCGCAAGACTATTTGTCTTTCTAACACACTTACGCCGTGTTTCTGACCATTTTTGCCGTGACAGGATCATTAACTAACAGAGACTTAGAGGAAAGAGATCTAATATTTAATAAACCAATAAACCACACCTAATAGTTTTATTGTTTTGTTCTGGTAAAGCAACTGTATTTATTTATATAGAGTTTTTATATTTATTTATTTTGGTCCGAGGGTGGGCTAACACAATGTCAATGGGAGTTTGGCTGGGTAATAAAGGAGAAGCAGCAGAGATATGTGTAAGACTACAACTCTGCTTCCTAGTCTGGACCCTGGATTGTCAATAAGTTCTGTGGTCAGCAAAGTTAGCTAAATTCTTAGAAAGGAGAGCAGCTCCAGTCAGGGTGGGATGGATGCCATCTCTCCGCATCAGACCAGGTTTCCCCCAGAAAGAACTCCAGTTATTTTCATAGCCGATGCTATTTTCAGAACACCACTTGGATACCCAGTGGTTAAATGAGGACATACGACTAAACATGTCATCACTGATCAGTTTGGGGAGGGGGCCAGAGAAAACTGCAGAGCCCGACATAATCTTTGCAAAGTTACAGACTGAAGCAGCATTAATTTTAGTAACCTCCGATTGGCGTAACCTAGTGTCATTACCACCAATGTGGTTGCTGGAGTCCCTAGATTCACATTTCGGACTATGAAGCTGCCAATAACCAGGGACTGTTTCTCAGCTGGAGTGTCACTGAGTGGGGAGAATCGATTAGAAACATCAATGGGTTGACAGTCCGGGAGATTAGCTATAGCCTTAGCACTGTGCTGTTTCCAAGCTGTCACTCATCTAGCCCGGGGTGCTGGCCTCACGGGATCCACCGAGGGACTGCTTGCAGGAGAGACTTTTCTCAGTGGTTCACTGCTAGCCTGGCTTGCTGTTGGCTTCTCAACAGTGCAGAGTTGAGCTTTTACTTTTTCCTGTATTAAACTGGTGTACATGTATTTTAAATGTTTTATTACATTTTTCCTTTATACTTTTTTTCCTTTATTTGTTATGTAGGGGTATCAAACGCTAGAATTCTGAAATGGATAATTTGTGAATTATTTAAAAACGCAAATTATCATTTTCCTCGAGGCACCACTAAAGTTCTTTTTAGTAAAACTTAAGAAAAACTTTCTTAATATCCAATCTCTAAATATGAAGGTGTTTAATTCTTTCAGTTTAATGACGGCGTGAGACAAGGAAATACAGACGGAGACAAATCACATTTGGAAATTCATCCGTGTATTATTTAAAATGAGGTTCAGAGGGAAATATATGCATTACAAGTCATTTCTCAGACACAAAACACACTTATAATCAGTTCCGGAAACTTGATCAAGAAGTGATGTAATTAATCTGGCACAATTACCATGTGAACAAATTTCTACACATATTTCAGTGGGACACTACTCGTTATTCCTAAGCCTACTGCTAACAGAGAGGGAGCTCAAGGGAAAGAAGAATGAACATTGATTATACTCTGATCTTATTTAAAAATTGGAGCACACCATCAGATTAATTGAGCAAGATGTTTCCTACCGGCAAAGTTTGTGGACGCCAGAATGGATACTTCTATGCTAATTGGGCTGTCATATGAAGTCCAACCGAGTCTGTAACTTAGCTGTGTAAAAGTTCCCTGGTTATCTGGATTGCCGGTTTGCATTCGCTGGAGATGTTGTCCAGCACACCGCGGCGGCTGCATTCCTTGTGAGCACAATGAGGTCGTCCGAGTTGAATTAAATCAGCCTCATTGTTTTCAATCAATGTAAATCTCCTTCCTGAAAGCACCTTAAGATTAACTATAAAAAGTCGGAAAAGAATGGCCTCGCCCCGGGATGGGGGAACCTGGAGCTAAAAAACTACTGCTCTCTCCTCAAACGCTTCTTCAGAACTCCCTACATGGCAGAACAATGAAATACTCCCTGTTCACAACGGAACTTCTCATTGGTTAAGACTTTCTGCGGTGGTCACATCTAGCTATCCGGACATGTAACAGAAGAACAGAGTAATAATTAATCAAACCAGATCAAGTTACTTAAACAATGTCATGATTATGACAGTAATTAAAACAGAGTACCAAGGTATTGTTTTGACACTTCACAGATGCTTTTTATAGTTATAAATGGAAAACATGGGTGAAAAATAAAATATTTTCAGGGTTAGTAGATAAAATGTCCACAGGGTGGCGTTGCTGACCCACAGAAAAATCTGATGGGAGTCGTTTGATGTGTTAGTCAGACATATATACACACTCAGTGACCAGTCAGAACCCCCCAGATCAGAACACCTGTTTGTGAGCGGTTGTGAACATGCGTGTTTYTACAAGATTTATCCAATGGAATATTTAATAGTGACTGTGGAGGATCGGAGATCCAACCCCCAAGACACGAGGCAGACATAGGGAAGACCAGAGCCCAAAGGCCTGAGAGGGATCCCGAGCTCAGAGAACCAAGGGGCACCCGCATGGGACGATCCGCCTACCCACACCCCAGATCAGACCATAGGAGAGAACTGGGAGAGTCCCCCCAGTGACTCCTGTTGTGAATCCTGTTCATTGACAATGGCAATAAAACTGATTCTGATTTTGAAACCTGGGTATGCCACTTTTCCCACAAAGGCTGTGATTCATAAAACCAAAACTTGACATAAAAATGTGTGGTCCCTCAGCCAGCTCTGACCCATGTGTACCCTCATTTTGGAGACGGGAAGCTGCAACACAGATTATGAAGTGAGGAATTAGAGCCACTGTAATGACATAGGCGTAGCCAGGATTTTGTATGGGGGGGTTCTTTTTTAGAAAAAGTGGACCTTTTTCAGGTGTATGGAGGTTGCTTAGATTAACACACCGGTTCTGTTGTAAGCGCAACTTCAAGCTTATGTAAACAAGCTAATTATCTAGCATTAAGCTTACCTTCTTATGTTGTCTTGCACACCTGCCTTTGGCATAATTGCTGKATAGCATCACACACATGTATCTTTTTGCTCTATTTCCTTTAGCAGCTCTATTTTAACTTGTTTTTGATGGGGAAAACCATAAGCTATTGTAAGAGCTAGTGATGAATAAATGGAGCTTTATGAAGCATTGAATCAGTTGGGCCAAATATTTCAAAAATAGGTTCATTTCATTTGCTGAAACTTCAATTACACTGACCTCTTGTGGAAATTTTCAACACTGCTGTCAAATTAGGCTTTATGCTTTTGGTTGTACACACCCAACAACTTTAATCACTAGTGTTAAAAAAACTACTTCACTGTGGTTAAAAAAAAGCTTTTTTATTCAGCAACTTGCTATGATAACTGATTTGAAAATGTATTTATGCTAGTTACACCTCCTGTTTTCTAATAAAGATCGAAACATTCAGGGTTTGAAGCATGTTTTGAAGCTTTTGTTTCATACTACCATCACAAGTATGAGCACCTTTCTTCCTTGGTGGATGTCACAAAAAAATGACATCATGTGTGCCTTGAGGGTCATTGGGAAGACAACCCTACCCACATGGAAAAAACAACATGGCTGTTCAGAGCCAGGAAAGACCTTGGATGTGCAACACTATAGTTTAGTATCAAAATGTTAATACATCAAACAACACAGAAATTAGTCTGACATCCGAAAACATTTACCCACTATAATACATGTTCCATACCTTTTACATCTACAGCTACACATTTTTTAAAAAAAATGTTGACACTACTTTATAGATAAACATAAAAACATCTTAAACAGATGCAGTTTTGCAAAACCTTTATTTACAATTCAAAGTCCATCATCTCAATCTGGATAAAGAAGACAGTCCAACTCCATCCTTCTTGCATGTTTCTTTGCAAACACATCAACAACGCTGTCAAGTTCAACGTGCTTGCTGTAATGAATATGAAGCAGTGCCAGTGAAGAGAGACGCTCCTTACCCATCGACGCCCACATGTAGTTGTTGAGGCGACGAAGGGCACTGGCACTGCGCTCACACTCACAGGATGTGACAGGGAGTGTACAGGCCAGCCGGAGCAGGACGTGCAGGTTGGGGTACATGTCTCGGTCACACTCTTTCAGGGAACTTGCTGGGGTGTTTGGCCTCTGTGATTCAGGCACTCTGTCAAACCTAACAGAACAGTTACAGTGGTTTGCAAAAGTATTC